AAAAAAAAAAAAAAAATAAAATATCATTTCAGAATAGTCTTAAAACAACAATTTGCAACTGGTGGATATAACTTTGAATAAACTAAATCAAGCGGCCAAAATTAAATCCTTATCAATTTACGTATTTTGCTTCCAACTGTCGTCTTTTACATTTTATCAATAAAATAAAAGTATTCCAGACCACTTAAATACGTTTTTTATATCTCATACTTTTAAGTGTATACTAACAAAAAAGTGCTTTTAATTGAAGATTGTTTAAGTCCTTAATGTCTGTATTTGGCATTATAAAAATATGATAATTTTGCATGATGGTCATACTCAATGTTTGAATTAAATAATCTAATCGAGCTTCAATCAATGGGTAATAATAAAAATCGAAATTTTGTTTAAAGTTATGTTTCATTCTACATATTTTTTGTCTCGATCATAAAATTTTGTTTAACCCACGTGTGCAGCAATGACGTTTTAAAAACTAGAAAGAGCAAATACATGACCATAACAATTGTCCTCTTGAAAACGCGAGTTATAAACAGGCAATTAAACTTTTGCTTCTTAAAGAAATGAGCGTTGTTACCTGGGGCTTTCTGGGTAGTTAACGTTTCACGCAAGCGTCTCCAACAAGCATTCTACATATACTGCAATTTCTTAGCAGTTCCTAAGTGAAATTCTGAACATTGCATGTAACTCATTCTGTAATTCGAGCAACTCTAGCTCACGAAACGATGAAACATTCCAAAGATTATAAAACAATCACGAAAAACGTACACGTTAGTTTGCTTCCTTCTTAATTTCCCATTATAATTGATCCGAAATAGCGCACCTAACTCATAAATATAATTTCACTAATTCCGATTAAAGAGTCCCGTTAAAGATATTATTGATTGGATCTCATTCTCTACCCCTGTTCATAAATATGGCGTTTTAGGCTGGAAAATGAGTATAGGGATGAGTTAATGGCTTATTGCGGATCCAGATTATCAAATACGCTGTTGAACTGGATTATAAACTGTAATTCTATTTAGCGCATTTTGGTGTGTTCGCTTTGGTTGGGTGAACGTTTAACCACATCACCTGGATCTTCAAGCTTAGCAGTCATTCACAGCAAGCGAACAGAGGTGTATAATTATATAACGTTACAATGTATTCCTTTATTTTAATAATTTTTAGTTATTGGAATCTAGCATAAAAAAGTGCTCTAACTATCAAATATCGTAATAGCTAACATTTCAAGATTTTTGAGAAACTAAAAATCATCATAGAAAATTTCTAATGATGTTTCCAAAATGTTTAAATATTTTCCAGTAAATTAACCACCTGTTCTAATTATTTCGTTGGCCAAGAATTGCATACATAAGTGCGTCTGACCGATCTAAGCTTTGTTTGGTAAACAAAGAATACACGCTTCTCGGCAGATCATAGAGTTTGCTATTTGTTTCCGATGGTTTATAATGTTACAATATGATAGAATATAAGAGCAAATCTAAAGCAATATTTAGGCAACCAATAATCGAGCTCTTACACATCTCGGAGCATCCGGAGGACTTTAGTTTCTCAACCAAACTACAGTAAAAAAACCAAACATGTCGAAAAATAAACTGTGTAGCAGGAATGCAATATTTCATGGAATTCTGGAGTCAAATTAAAACTTTTGCAGTTGTGTAGCTATCGAGTCGTACGCTTGTCGGTCAGGAATTTCCCATAAAATATTGATGTCCTTTTTAAATGAGTGGAATTCTCAATAAGTTTTAAAATATTTTCTGGATTCTTCACCTAATACGGCTAACTTTCAAAAAAAGATATGCCCTTGACAGAAAATTGGTAGTCAGACACTAAACAATAATGCATTGGAAGAAATAAACTAATAGCATATACGAATTAACAAAATTATATTAACATTACTTGAGTAAAAAATCTAATAATATTAGAAACATGCGAATGCAAGGCAGATCTCCATTTATTTCTCCAGCATAACCAGAATTTTTTTTTCATATCCCATCAGCACATAAGCAATCCTGAGACTCGTATCAAAATTTCAGTAAATTGTACAATAAAAATTTGTCACTTACCACCAATGGTCCTCAAGCGATCAGTTACGGGTTGGTAATTGACTCTTCGTGAATTAATACTTTCCAACGGGAACGGTGATGCTTGGCGATGTAAAGGAACTGGAGATCTTGGTGAAACCAATTTTGGTGTTGGTGCGGGGAAAGGAGAAGTTGGATTGTCGGTGCTGACAATTTCTTCAGTGTCATCAGATCGGTAGTTTCTCTCAATATCATCTGAAAACACGGAAAACCGTCATCTAGTAATAGTGTAACGATTTTAAACAGTCATTTGCAAGTGATCTGCTTGCACAAGGTTCGGAAATGTTCAGTAAAAACTGTTAACTAGTTAATCAATCATTTCTTTAAAACCTATGTTTTATTTTCAAATAGAATAATGAGTCAAATACAATTAAACACGATGTTTCTATTAAGTCGATTAACCTGGACGTCTTAGTACCTTTGGGATTTAATTTCTTCAAGTACCATATTTTTAGCTTCCGAGCTATATAGTGTAAGCTTCTAGTTCAGGATATTGAATTTATTAATATTACGGAAACCGTTTAAAACATTCGAATAAATGCTCATCAATCTTTGAAGTAGAAGTAGCCAAAAAATAGCAGGACATTTTCGGTGAGGAAACCCGTAGTTTTTAATTTAACAAGTGACATTGGCTAATCCAATTTTGCTTTGGGTTTTTTTCACTGATTTAGAAGATCACAGTTTTCATCAAATGCTCCTTTAATATTTTAACACTAACTAGTAGTTTAGTTTAGTTTTAACACCGCGTTGGGTACCTGTTAAGCTAGGTCCTTACTTACGCAAATCATTTATGCAGAGTATTCCTGCAATTTATTGCCGCATCTCTCAAGTTAGTTTTATTACGTTGTGGTTCACGCTTTTCCATGTTGTTTGACAAATGAGAGGAATTAAATGACCAACTGGACAAAATTAAAATTCTGATGTGGCATTATCGGCTTCAGCAGACTAAAACTAAAACAATACTACTAGTTTGTCTTCAAGTGGGCGCTTACTGAGCTGCAATACCTTTTGAAAAAAAAAACAGATAACGAAGATATTGCATATTCGTCTGTGGATGTGACCTCTAAACAGGTTTTAATCACTAAAAACACTACAGTTGCATCTGAAGAATTGTATGAAAATAGAATGCGTCCTGTTGCTTGCAATACTTTACACAATACAAAATTGCTCACAAAATGGCTAGTGTGGACAAATAATTGCATGCAATTCAACAGTTGTTGCAACGAATTGCGTAGGTGAAAACGCTTTTACAAAAAACACAAAAGAGATCTGGTGATATATTAATGAAACTTGTTCTTTGTAGAACAGATTTGATGTTTATGAATTTGAACGCTAAAAAGGAATGGTTATTTCAATTGTAATTTTGTTTGTGGCGTTCCGTTATTTTGTATAGAGTATAAATGGTCGGTATTTAACGTAACCGCAAAAATAACAATGTTTCACACGTGGAACCTTGAACCGTAGTTCCAGGCAGCCGATGTAACCGCTTATTTTTGGAACCGTCTCATAAAACCGAAAAACTGGGTCACACCGGAACAGAACCGATGCGACACTGTCCAGCCATCTATCCAATAACCATTTTTAATAATTAGGATTTCTTTTTGGACACATCTTTATGAGAAGCACTGTTAGAAATTAATAGATACTTAGATGTCTTCCTTACTTCAAAATTAGTAAAATTTAAATTAAGCATTGTGGCTACTTCCGTAGCATGCGAGAGATAGTTTTCTAAAGCATGTACTGCCATAAACGAGCTAGACTTAGTAAAAACCATCTGCAAACAAGCATTCTTAAATTTTATATATCATTTTTAATGAAAATTAGCGTTTAAAATGCTTTCGCATGCAAAGAGTATCTATATTTTACAAAATCCATTATATTTTATTATCAGTTTTTTCTTCTCTTTGAAGTCACTTGTGTGCAAATTAAAACAAGCATTTATTAGCGTGCGTCTAACCTGTATATAGTATTGTATTATCCGGCGAATAAAGTAGGAGGGGTCAAGATTAACAACAATGAATTAACGACTATTAATGTGACGAAAGTTCCAATTTAAAATTAGACCTTGATGTTTGTTTCTAGGGTCAGCAACCGATATTCTGTTGAAGAACAGATATTATCGGTTGAAAAAACACTTAAATAATTCTTTTGACCTATTCCTTCGCACTTAAGTATTATCTCATATTTGATAGCTCAATATCTCATCGGCAAACCTGACATGTAATTTCGGAAAACCTATGCAGTTACTCTTACGTGAATGGTATATTGGAATATGCCAGTATATGGGCAAACACAAGAAATGTGTCTCCTGAATTTTTCATTCAAAATGCCGATATTGAGCTCACTAAAAGTTGTATACATTTGTTGAAACGTGATGAATACGGAGATCCCACAGCGTGATATTGACAGCCAATGAAGTTAAGCACCCTTTTTTCAGGCATTAGATGACTCGTAAATTGGCAATTCAATTTGGGAAACTGTCACGAGATAATCTCAATGCAAATTTTCTTTCGGCTCGACGAGCTTATTTACTGTTTTATTAAGCAAAATACAGTAGGGCGCTATTCATTCTATGCTAAAAATTCTTTGATACGTCTTTTATTTAAGATTCTGAAATATGTGGAAAACGCAAACAAAGTGAAATTAAATCGAAAAAGCTATTTGTTTGGGATTATGGATAAAAATATTGAGTCATATTGTGGTTATAGCCGACCGGTCAATTCGAAACCACATATATCGGTAAACCAACTTAATGATGTGGTGATAACTTAAAATTTAATCTCTACGGAATTTTTGGAACGAATTTAGGAACTTGATCTGTTACCCAGTATTGTTATAATGGTTAAAAAAGCGACAGGATGTGACTGGACAGAGTGGGCCTATTTGGACACATTTAAGGGGGAAACTCTTAGTTCTATAGCAGGCGAAAAGTGGTATAGGTCAAAAAATGTCGATCCAATCGAAAGGAAATGTATATTTGTGATATAGTGTGTATATACCGGGTGGTTTTTTAAATCTTGAAAAACTTAAATATTTAAATAAGAAGTTAATATCTGAGAGGAGAAAGTTTATTCCCGTTACAAAAAAACGCCTACTTCTATCTTGTAGGCTAGGCAGGAGCTAAGTTAATAATTTCAAATAGTAACCATACCATTTTACTGCAGATCCAAGTAGTCTTTTCTCTTCAAACGTTATAAAACTTATTTGATTTAGAGTATGTATATCGTAACATGACGAAAATATAGGTAATCTGAACCATCTGAAGTTAGAAGTACACATGAATTCTAACGTAGATATAGGAGTTGAGTCATTAAATCTCCACGCCAACATATAAGCAGATTAATCCATTTTCTCGTAAACCTGAAAAAATGCATGAAAACTGTGCTACATGCATTGAAAGCTAGTTTGGGTCAGTTCGTTATCCCAACAATTTATTCAGAGACAATGCATTAGCAAGCAGTGGCAGAACACTTACCAATATTTATGGCCATTTGAACATGTTATAGCGGATAGACGAATTTGATCATTAAAATGACATAATTCTATTCCACAAGCAAAATTCAAAACGATTTGTAGTAGGCAAGACTAACACTGACAACAATGCAAAACAATTTGCTAAATTACTTGACAATGGGAAAAGCATGGAAATGGCAAAGAAAAGTAAAAACCTTAGTTCCTCCGGCAATTACCATTTAAAGGTTTGCCATGGTTGAAAAGCTTGACCCACTTTACATCATTTAAGATGAGGGTCGCTCGAATTTAAATCGCTCTAACTTCTAACAAACTTTCAGGAATTTTACGCATGTTTGAAAGAAATATGTGGGTAATTTTTCCTGTCGCATTAAATACACTTGATAGTGCTAAACGACACTGCTAAAAAGCGCAGATTGCACGAATATCAGTTTTTCTGGTTTTCACTCGAAAACTTAAATAGCACGGTTTAACTATGACGACCTGAACATCGACAACTAGATAAAACTTGCCATAGAAAACATATAAAAGCAATTCCTAAACCTATTGCTACAAATTGGGATCTCTAGAAATGTTGTTTAAAACTGTTGATTTCTATTCTATATGACTTTTTCGAAACAAGCTGAAAATTACTCAAATCTTTTTATTTATGTCAATGTTTGTACATAAGGTACATTAGGTATAAAGACTTAGAAATTTTCGAAAAATGTTAGGTTTGTTAATATTTACGTTTTAAGTGCGCCTTCTTGTAGTTAAATCCAGAACTTCAGAATTGTTTCTAGGATTTTCTCAAAGCCATATTATATGACAAAAAATGTATCTCTAAGTATCGCAAAGTTTGGGAATCGTAAAGCAATTGTCGTTCGATGCTTCGCACGAAAATTGTCTTGCTTACTCAGCGTTTAGTGGGGAAACCAGTAGCACAATAAAGGCTGGAAATTGGCCAAAGATGAAGAGTTTATAATCAAGGTAAATTGGGAAATGTTGAATTACTTTTAGGTATAGGGACGGCAGTAACCTTTACTGAAACCAGCGGTATAACAATGAACGTTTTTGCTACCTGGTATATTGTCAAAGCTCGCTGGAGTCTAAAAGTTCCAGCTCCGTCTACGCCATGAAACGCCTATTAAAAAATAAAGTTTGACAAGTTGTCAACAATAAACCTTGCAAACACATTTTCTTAAATCCTCAACTATTCTATTTTATTACGCAAATTAAGTAATTCAAATACAAAAACCACTTATTTATGACAAATGATTGAAATTCTAAATAAGGTCGGACTAAATTAAGTACTCAAAATAAACTGTTGAAGTTTGTAACGGCAGGAGAAATAGAAATAGGAAGAAGTGTATGAAATTCCTTAATAAGGCCAAAGCAACAAGAAAAATTATTAAACACTTATATATAAAGTGGGTAATAATGTCGCTTGCTTCCAAAAACCGAACTCAGAAGAAAATCGGAAAATTTTATCTGTACACTGACAAAAGTTGATCACTATAAACGATTGGCCTATAATAAATCAATAATTTTGATAAAAAAAAATAAAATAACAACCGATAGGCTCCAGGAATTGAACCAGATAGTGCACGATCAAGACATGCTCGGGTTCCAGACCTAGGGTACAGGTATCAGAGATAACTGCTACAGAGCCTGTTTTTGATAACAATATTGTTTTATATTTTTGCTGTACTCCCAAATCCCTTCCAGACAACACATTTCATTTA